CCCCGGAGGACGGGGGGGGCGGCGGGACCGGGCGTCCGCCACTCCCGTCGTCCGGGGCAAGAAAATCCCTGTTCGTATCCGCGTAACTCGGGGACTGCCTGTACTTGAAAAGGGCTATCATGTCAGGCTTCTCTTTTCCAATTAAACTAACCCAATTCTTTCAGTCTGCTCTCATAGATCAAGTTTTCTAGACCTTTAATCCCCGGAGGACGGGGGGGGCGGCGGGACCGGGCGTCCGCCACTCCCGTCGTCCGGGGCAAGAAAATCCCTGTTCGTATCCGCGTAACTCGGGGACTGCCTGTACTTGAAAAGGGCTATCATGTCAGGCTTCTCTTTTCCAATTAAACTAACCCAATTCTTTCAGTCTGCTCTCATAGATCAAGTTTTCTAGACCTTTAATCATTTTTGTTTTTCTTTCTCCACATCCTCCTTGAAATGTGGTGCTCCAAACTGGACGCAATACTCCAATTGAGGCCTAATCAAGTGCAGAGTAGAGAAAAGAATGACTTCTTGTTTCTCTCTCACCCTTCTGTTAATGCATCCCAGAATCATGTTTGCTTTTATTGCAACAGTTTCACACTGTTGACTGATATTTATCTTGTGGTCCACTATGACATAAGAACATAAGATCTCTAGATCCTTCTCTGCAGTACTCCTTCCTAGATAGTCATTTTCCATTTTGTGTGTGTGAAAGAAAGTGTTACTCTCATTGTGCAGTAACAGAGGTTCTTTGAGATGGTTGTCTCTGTGGGTGCTCCAGTTTAGGTGTCTGGGTGCCACTGTGCCTCTAATTGGAGATTTTAGGTAGCAGTGCCCTCAGTAACTGTGCATGCAAAGCAGACAGCACACAGAGTGACGCTACTACAAATGCAGTCAACCGTCCCTTCAGTTCCTTCTATGCCCCAGAAAAAAACATCTATGTGTAAAGCAGAGGGGAGGAAGGGCAGGTGGTTGAGCACCCACAGGGACAACCATTTCAAAGAACCTCCGTTTCCGCACAAGGTGAGTAACCCTCTCTTCTTCTTTGAGTGCCCCTGTGGGTGCTCCACCTTAGGCAACTATGGATCAGTACCCGGGATTGGAGGCGGGTGTTTCAGTATCATGCACAGTAGCTAGGATGGTATGCCCAAACTATAAGTTGAATGCTATACAACTAAGCTGTAGAAGCTGCCATGGCCCGCGTAAACTATGCATAGCTGCAATGGAGGATCTCGGCCAAAGATGGAGTGGGCTAGCCTGATGTAAGTCCACTATCCACCTGGTTAGTCTTTGGGTACAAATTGGCATGCCAAGGGATCTCTCTCTAGTGAAAATAAACAATCTTGTGACTTGTGGATTTGTTTAGTCCTGTCCAAATAAAAGGTAATAGCCCTGCAGGGATCCAAAGTGTGCCATGAAGCTTCCTTATCATCAGTGTGAGGCTTCAGAAAGAAAACAGGTAGGTTTATAGGGTCATTGCAATGAAAAGAAGTCGGGACCTTGGGAGGAACTTTGGATGTGGACAGAAAACCACTCTGTGCATGTTATAAAGAGAGGGTCTGCCATCAGTGCGCCAATTTTGCCCACCCTCCTGGCAGATGTGACAGCAACCAAGAAGGTCACCTTCATGGAAAGGTGGAGCATGTTCCATGTTGCCATGGGCTCAAATGGTTTATGAGTGAGCGCCTGAAGCACTAAATTGAAGTCTCAAGCTGGAACTGAGGTTCTCGTAGGCGGGTAGGTGTTCTATATACCCTTCAGGAAAAGCTTGGTTGTTGGGTGGGTGAAAACAGATTTGTCATTGATGGGTGGGTGAAAGGCTGTTATGGCAGTGAGGAGAACCTTTAGGGAGCTGAAGGAGAGGCTCGACTTTTTACCTTTAGCAGGTATTCCAAGATGGTAGGTGTGGTACTGCTGATGGGTTCAAGCATTTTTGTTTTGTCCAAACAGAATCTTTGCCACACGTGCAGGTAAGATTTTCTGGTTGTTAGTCTGCGACTGTTCGATAGTATTTGTTTGACCTGATTGGTGAATGTTGTTTCTACTAAGTAGAACCATAGAAGAAAAATGCCCAAAGTGAAGTTTTTGCAGGCATGGGTGATGAACTCAGTTGCCCTCTTGCATCAGGAGATGAGGGAGCAACGGGAGTCACCATGGCATTCTCTTGGACATCTGGAGCAGGTAAATGTACCATGTCTGTCTGCACCAACCTGGAGCAATAAGGATCACTGTGGCTGCATCAAATCTTATTTTGTTGACAACTTGATGAAGGAGTGGAACTTAGGGAAAAGCAAAGAGAAACAGTGTGTTCCAAGTTATTATGAACACGTCACCGAGAGAGTGCATGCCAATGCCCGCATGCAAACAATATTGTGGACATTGGCTGCAAACAAATGCACTGTTGGAAAGCCCCAGCGGGTAAATAGTTGATGGAGGACTTTGGAATCCATTTCCCATTTGTGATTAGAATTGAAATGCCTGCTGAGGTCATCCCCAGTGACATTGTCTTTGCCTGGTAGGTATGAAGCTTTCAGATGAATGCTGTGTGCAATGCACCATGTCCAAAGTCCAACAAGCTCCCTGAATAGGAGGTAGGATCTGGCACCTCTCTGTCGGATGATTGATTGATTGATTGTCCGAAAAGATTTGTACTGTCTTGTTGTGTATGAGGAGCAGAAAATGCTAGCATGCATAAAATACCGCTCTGACCTCTAATATATTTATGTGCAGGTTGGCTTCCTGTGGAGACCACCATCCTTGAGTTTTGAGAGAGTCTGAATGTGCTCCCCAGCCAAGGAGAGGTCCATTGTGATAGTCATGGATGGGGGTTGTTTGTGAAA